AAGAGCCCCATGGAGAGGACCTAGGGAAACCAGGTCTGCCCCACAACAGGAAGTTTCTTCCCTGGAGAATGCAAACCTTGTATTATTATTCATAGAGAGAAGTAGCGGTTCTCATAAAATGCCCCCCCTGCTCGCCATGGGTTTGGCATTGCCCCGCCAGGCTGGCTGTGAGCAGCATCATGATGGCAGAGGGCTGTCAAAACAGCTTGAGTGATATTTATGACAAGGACCATTCTACCTATATTTGTTGTTCCTGCTGTGCCAGCATTCCAGCATGTCCTGTAATAACTTTAATAGCTTTTATGCAATGGCTAGGAATGATGAAGCTAATTCAAGATTAGGTATTTAACCTCCCTGGTTTTATTCCTGTCTTTATCTGACGATCAACAATCTGATCACTTCCAGCTTCCTTCGCTACCAGATTCAGGCTGAAGTGGAGCAGAGGGCAGGTCCCAAAGCGGGGGGCTCTGCTCTGACCTTCACATAAGCAAATAGCTGTGCTTTTGCTCCTGGACTGCCTCTCTTCTGGTATGCCATGGCCTGCCACTGGGCACCACCTGAGGGAAGGTGATAACTGTGACCATATTCTCATGGGGCTGGAGCCCCTTTTCACCCCCAAAAAGGGTCTGTGGCACAGTGTGGTGTGTGTCCCCAAGCAGCAGCACAACCCCAGGAGATGTGTCCAGTCCTGCTGAACCACCTGGGATGCAGGATGTGCATGACACACACCACTGGACAGTGGCAGACCCAACAGTACACCCCAAAGTCTTTGCCCCAAGGTCTGCAGTGACAGAATCACAGAATATTCTGAGTTGGAAAGGACCACAAGGATCATCGAGTCCAGCTCTTAAGTGAATGGCCCATATGGGGATCAAACCCACAACCTTGGTGTTGTTAGCTCCATGCTCCAACCAAGGTAGTCCTAGGGTCCACCCGTGGGGCCACAGGTTTGGGGTCTGTCCCAGCCTGCAGCAGAGGACACCATGCCCCATCACTCCTTGCCTGCAGTGCCCTCCTCTACCTCCCATCCTTAAATGATGTGCAAAGTCTGCTAAGGACTTTCCTGCTGGAAGAACTCAGCAGGAAACAGCTAATGCAACCTCTCTTGTTCATCCACGGTACTCGTGTCCAATGGGTAATAAAACCACAGGCTCCTTTCTCATTAATCCCTAATTAGGCTCTCTCTCACTCACATAGCACTTTCTGTCATTAGTGTTGGAAAGCTGAGAGCCTGCCTTTAACCTTCACATGTTGTGAGGAGGCAGACCCAAACACCTTGCTGTGATCTTGCATAAAACATCTCCTTGTGCTGGCTCTCAGGGGCTGCTGGAAAAGAACCTCCCTTTCCCCAGCATAGGCAGAAAGCAAAACCTCTAGGGGAGTGCAGCATCTGCAGTGAGGAGGCTGGAAATGTCCACTGGGTGTGACACTTGACCACTGAGTGACCACAAGGTCAGGTTTGCCCTTGTACCTCTGCAAGAGCCCAATTGAGGGACTGCAGAGGCCTGAGCCAGCTGCCCTGCTGGTAGCTTATCGCAGTGTGGGAATAGAGGAGGCAGCCACACTACTCCTAGAGCTTCAGCATCTTAATTTAAAGCCTTGCTGAGCATGAATGCATGTGGGCTGAGGCACCCCATGTTCTGAGACCGTGCAAGTGTCCTTCACATGGTGTACGAGCAGGAACTGCAAGAGGAGAGCAGAGATCACAGCTGAACATCAGCCCTTCTCCCAGTTGTGTCAGAAAAACCCCCACCAAATTATTAGGATGAACAGTCTGGTGTGGGTGTGCTGAGCACATGTCAGGGCCGGGCAACTGAGTTAGTGTATCTGGAATGTATGTGCCAGTCCTCACTGCTGCTGGCAATGTGGCACTTGTTGCTGTTATCCTGGCAGCTGTGGGGCAGCTGCATCCTGTGCTGTCCTGCCCATGATGGTGGGACTTACACCCAGCTGAGGCCTCATGGGCCAGGAATAATACCTGTCCCAGATGGACATGCAGCATCAAACCCATAGGTAAGTGTTAGAGCCTGATGCTGGGCACATCCCTAGCTTGCAGTAAGTGGTGCCTGTTCTCTGTCCTTACCCTTGACACACATTACTCACAGCAAGAGCAAGAAAGGAATCAGAAGAGTTTTGTTTGCTGCTGAAAGGGATTGTTTAGAACATTAAATGGCTGGTTCTGCTCCTGCAGGGATTGGTGTTAAGGCCTGTTAGAAGCAGCATGAGTTCACCTCCTGACCTCCCCATGTCCAAGACTGTGCCATGGTATTCTGATCCAACCGGACTCCAAGTGTTGGAAGGGCATATCCTCCTGCCCTTTCAGCAGAGGAAAGATTTCCTCTCCATGACCTTGAGACTGATCCACTGACTCTGATGATTTGTGCCCATCAGAAAGCAACAAGGAAAGCCCCTGGCAAAGTTGGGACCTTTGCTTAGGTAGCTATAAAAGGGCACTTCTCGAGTGAAAGAGTTCAGAGATGAGCTTCAGAGAGCTCTTCAGATAGCATTGGCAGGGAGTGCAAAGCTGTAGGAAGCAAACCTGGGGATCTACCAGCATGCACAACATCTCCACTTGAATCATTTCAGTGGATAATCTGGAAACAAAACTAACTGCAGCGGTGGTGAGGGGGATGATGAGGCAGCTCCTTGCCAGCAAGGTGAGGGAGCACCCAGCTGCCAGGCAAAACATGGATTGCATAAAACAGCACTGTGTTACAAGCAATTTTGCAAGCTTCCCTAGAAAGGTGAGTAGCTTCCCAGCCTGCTGGTGGGAATCTTACTGACAGTGAGGGATTATTCTATCCTTAAAGAACTCAGGGTCTTGTACAGCTGCCAGGAAAAGGAACAGGAGGAGCTGTTTGAATGTCCTGAAACAGGACATCAAATGAGAAACCTGAGCACAGAAAGAGAGGAGGTATCACCCCGACTATCTACAGGCACACACAGGCAATGCCAGCATTGGTGGGCAGCCTGTCAGGTAAGAACAGAAAGAGGCTCCTACTGGGGCAGTTAGTGGGTAAAGCTGTGAACCACCCCATGGAGGATATTGTTTTTCTCCCCACTTTATCTAAATATGTCTAAGAAAAGAAGTATTTTAACACAGACCTTTTCTTTCAGACTCTGAAGCAGGATGACATGCTCCCAACAGCTGTACCCAGTCAACACCTTCCATAGCACTTCTGTTATCCGTAACATTCCCCACCTCTATCCTGTTATCCCTAACATTTCCCTTCCCTTTGGGTTTAGTGTCCATCAATATACATTTCTCTCACTCACTTGACACCCGCAGTTCAAAGAGCAGAGCAAGCAAAGAAGGCAGACAAAGAAATAGCGCAGGGGAGCAGAGGGCAAAACCCAGCAGTGATGTCCGTGCCAGGTTACAGATCTGCTGTAACCTGCAGTGCCTCCTACTCCTCCCACAGCATTGCCTTGTGCTCTTGCACCCTGCACAGTTTATCCTTCTCTGCTAGGTGTCCTGGAGATGCAGAAGCAATGCTGAGGCCTGAGCCCCTCCAGCTCTGGTAAGGCTGAAGGTGCTTCTCTGCTGCCTGCAGATGAGGGTGAAAGGGCTCTTGCCTTATGTCTCACACGAGCAAGAGGAGAGAGAAATCTAGGGAAGAGGCTGCTGACCAGCAAAACCATTACACCAGCAGCTGCACACCTGCCTCTCTCATGTAGCCCAGCATGAAGTATTTCAAACACCCTTCCCTCTTCTCCTGAGAGCAGCTATGAAGGTGGAGTTTTGCTCAAACGCCTCCTGTCAGTCTTCTGCATATCCCACCACCAGAGAAAACAGTGACTCCAGGTGAAGACCTCCAGAAAAAGGGATGACAAACCATATGGAGGCCCTACTGTAATAGAACAAAGACATCTACTTAAAAACTCAGGGCCTTAAATCCACTCCTGATAAAGATGCCTGGACTTTCGAGAGGCCTGGCAAGAACAGAGGCAAGCGCTCTCTGCCTCTTGTGCATCTCAGCAGAAACCCTCTCTAGGATGAGAGTCACCCAACCATGTTACACGCACAGACCATCCTCCCCACTCCCAGGAGCCACTGAGATAGCCTGTGGTCTGATCCAAAGTCCTCAGGAAATCAGACAACCTTTTTCCTGTTGTATTGAACTGCAAAGGAGGCTTTTGGGGCAGCTGCAGAGTGAAAGCTTGGGCCTCCATTACTATTATTTTCTGTAATGACAAGAAAGATAGAGAAATAAATTTTTTCATTGCATACTTGAGTTCTGAGGAAACCAACAGGAAGGGACAACCATCCTTCCAGAGTGACAAGCCATTCATTTTGACTTCGTGGGACTGATTTGAATGCTCTGAGTATACACAGAGCATGAGACATGGAAAATATCCTCTCCAGCCGTAGAAACTGCTACCAGCCTTTCTGTTTCTTGTGGTCTTTCTGACACATGCTACCTGCTGGAGCTGCAGCTGTTTTACTAGGGTTGTCACAGCAAGGCTATTCCCCATCAGGTAATGAGGAGCTGAGAAACACAGCCCTTGTACTTCCACACTGGATTAGCATTCGAGCAATGGAGAGAGAAATCAAGGAGCCTGTGACCTGAAATTACATTAAAGACAGGTCCTCTAAGAACGGGAACCTTGCCATAGATCATTTCTTGTGTCACCAGTTCCACAGATGGTAAAAGGATATAGCTACAATGGAGGACTTATCCAGGGATCACTACCTAACACAGCTTACTCTTTAGCAATCCTGGTTAAGCAGCACAGCAAGGCTAAAGCTGAGCTGTACTTCTTGCATGCTCTCAAAGGTTTCTGCACCCCTTTACAGGAAGAAGCTTGAGTGAGGCTACAGTCAAACCCCCTTTCCAACTTGCCAAGGAGGGAAGGGGAGTTCTCCCCTCCAATAGCCACAAACTGTGGGTTGAGCATCCAACTGGACATCAGTCTGCCCAATACAGCCAACCATGCGACTGAAGACAAGGTTTTTTCCTTACAGGTGCAGTAGAAAGAAAACAGCAAAATTAAACACATGCAATGCTTCAGGTCTTTATTGTTGTTGTAGAGTAACTGGTACACGGTTAAAACATTCTAATAATATTATCAGTGAAATCTGAAAACTAAGGCTTTCTGTAGGTTTGTAGTATCCTGGTGTTTCCTTTCACATAGTGCACATATAAAATCAAGTTATAAAAACATGGATCTTTTTTAAACAACACCGATTGATGCAATGCACAAAACTAAGAACTACATTTTATATGATCCAGATAACACCTTACAGACCAGCTTTGGGCCTTGCAGCTTTGAAGTCAAGAGACTTGGTCTGACATCCTGCTACCCAGGTGAGCTTGATGACACGCACAGATGGCAGAATTTCAAACCTTCTGTTCTGAGCAGAGAGAAAGAAACCCCCCGATGCTCAAGAGGAAACATCTGATTGAGCAAATGGGAGCACCATCCTTAAAGCACGTCACTGATCTCAAATAATGTAAACAAGACCTACCCAGACCTGTAGGTCCCACAGACAGAGCAGTTGCTGCTCAGCAGTGCAGCTGCTGGGACTACAGGAGAAGGTGAGCTGTGACAAACCTGCCAGTGAGTGAGACAAGTCTTGGTGCTAAAACATGTCCCATGAAAGAAGAGTGGGTGATTCCTGGAGTACTAGCACCTTTAATCTAACAGCACTGAAAACATTTCAAAGTGATTTACCCAGCAGAGAATCATAGAATAATTTAGGTGAGAAAAGACCTTTAAGACCCTCGAGTCCAACATAAACCCAGAACTGCCAAGATTGAGACTAAACTATGTCTCTAAGTGCCATCTTAGTGTTCTTTAAATAGGAAAACAGGGTAGGAATAAAGAAGCCTCCAAGAAATCTGTATATTAGAATCTTTTCAGTAAAAAGCTACATTTTGACCAAAGAGAAAAAAAACATTCACAGAACAATCTTCCCTCAGTTCTTTAACCACTTTTTAAACAAAGAAGCTTCTATATCCACAAAGCTTTTCATTTTCATTCAGTTTTTCCCCCTCTTGCATTTCTAATTGAGCTGAAAAATGATGCACAGAATCTGAAAATTTACATGAGACACAAAGCCAACACCTCCCCTGGGAGAGGAGGATTCTTCACTGACCATTTACTCCACATCATGGAGTTGGGCATTGCAAAAGTGACATGAGCAGCTGACAAGAATATTATTCTTTCTCTTTGATCCGAACACATGAGAGAGGAGGATGAATTACAGATTTGCAGGATGTTTTTACCACATTACAATAGGTTACGTGTTTGGCTCCAGCTGGGAGAAAACCCCTTGTAAGGGTCGATGATGAATTGCATTTGACTTCACTGTCAGAGCCCAACTTTAATCACACACAGATGTAAATCCTTTACCGCTCCATGACCAACACTCACACTGATGCTTCTGATACATCTGATGACACCACAAAGTTCTCTGAACGACTGAGAAAAGCACAGCTGGTATTTACGTCACCAACACATAGAAACTGTTCTTTGAATTCACTCCTGAAGATGGTGTTAAGGCTATTGGAGTAGGCTGGCCATGGTTACTCCTGGCATGAAAGCACTTTGTCCTAAGCCGTGGCTTAGGACAGACTAGAAGAAGCCTTTTAGGTCTCCTCTGCATTAACCATAAATGTGGTTTTTAGGTTTTCCCTTGCAGTGGATTACCTGGATGTGCAGGGAACTGCACCAAAGCAGAGCATTAGGTGAAGAAAAACCAGGCTATGTAGATTTAAGCTGCAACCATGCCTGTGATATTACAGAATTGTGTTAAAAAAAGACCTCGAGGTGCAGAAATGACCTCCTACCACTCGTGACAATGAAACACCAGTTGTCAGTCGTCAGGTACTCAAATACAAATATGAAAAAATCATTAAGAAACATAACCCTAAATATAAACCTAGTTTTATTTATTTATTTTTAAGAAAAAAGGGATTAAAAAAATTGGAGTAAACCAGATGGCTTCAAGTACTTTCCGCGTAATAAACAATTAGCTATTATAAGCATAGATTAAAAAAGACTTGTCACCTTGCAAGGGACAGTTGAATAGAGGCTGGTGATTTGTTAAAAAAATGGTCTTTGAAACAAACACATAAGACAACATGCTTAGAGTTGTAATTTAAAAGCAAACAGGTGTGTCCACCATGCCAACCCAACGCTTGAGACACCCAGCACAGTACAAGATACATTTTGCACTCTGAACTTTCACATTTCATGGCAATGCCACTCAACACACGGAGACAGGCCATCTCAGTCTAGCTCAAACAAGCTGTCATGCAATAAACACAAATATTTAGTAAGTCATGAAGGTTTTGCAGCATTAGAATTGATCAGGTTGTTTAAAATTTTTGAGGTTGCAGAACAATCTAACCTGAAGACCTGAACTGTCTCCTAAGTGCTGGCAATGTTTTTGTCTTTTTCTGTGTGAATATAACATTACTTTTACTGTATATGACAAGGAATACAGTTGAAAGTGCCTTGTCTAAGCTTAAGCCTTCAGATTTTCTGAATGTCATGAAAAAAAGTGAACGTGTTATAGTGGGAGCCCCAAGAGAACCTCCCAAAAATTGTGAAGGAGGTTAAAAAGGTAATGATGTCATCAAGAAATCAAAGCCAATACAGCAAAGGGAAGATGTAGCTCTTCCCTGTGCTGTGATGTCTAAAACCTAAACCCATGTCTTGTACCAATAAGGAGACAATCACTGCATCATGTGCATTTCAACAGGTCTGTCTGACATGCACGGAGCAAGAATTCTTCCTGCTTATCTATATGGACACATGAAACGCCAAAGGAAGCAATGTGAAAACCAAAATTAATGCTTAAAAAAGAAAAAAGATATCTTGCCTACTCTGAAAATTAACTAAAATGTTTTCAATCCAAGAAGGTCTACAAGGAAACTGTTTTGAAAAACATTTTCCAGCTATTTGGAGACAGACACTTACTTTTGCCTCTGTGAGAAAAAAACACCACTAAACCAACAAAAAAACCCAGTTCCCCTATCCCACAGCTCTGCATACTACAGTGGGAACAACTCTCCCACAGCTAACAGGGAGACTGAAACAGTATGAAACAGTGAGAAATCAAAACTTAGCTGCACAGGTCTATTAAATAATCAGCAAAGACTTAAATGGAGGCAGAGCCAGGACTGTTCTCTGTACTATGACACAAGACTACAAGGCTTAAAAACCCCTCTGAGTGACCAAGCCAGAATGGTTGAACAGTGGTAGGTTCAGTAGTGTTTGAAAAAGCTTATGCAAAAATATTATTTTAAAATAAGTTTGAGTATTTGAAATATAAAAAAGAAACAGAACAACTTCTTCTCCAACTTTCACCTACCATCAAAACATCACTAAACTTACCAGCTTTCCAAATCCGACGCTTACTTCACAGCAATGTGATTATACAGAAATCATACATCTGTCTCTCTTAGCTGAACAGTTTGGGTTTCTACATGAAAGTCCAGTGCATGTTACATTTATTACCATCTTTATGATTGTTCAATAATCCAGCAATTTGTTTCTTAATGACAGCAGAATGCAGTTGCTAGCTGCTTGCAAGAGCAATGTTGAAATTACATTCAGAGATTAAAAAACTACCATTTTCACATGTAGGAATAACTAACATTTTTCTTTCTCTTCACAGAATCATGTGCAAATGTCTAACAATGGCAATAGTAAAAGACAATTCTCATGCAAAAATTGTTCCCTGTGCATAAAATTCACAGGGCATCTCAACCCACCCCCCCTTTCTCTACGCCAGAACTAATTGTTTTTTATTTTTGTGTCGTGAAATTTCTGGTGCTTTTTAAAATATCGATGACAAGCGAGTTCAATTAGTTCCAGCCCACCAAATATCTTTTGCTGCACAACAAAAAAGATGACCATGGCTGCAAAATACCACTGAGCAAAGCTGTACAGGTACAGCAGTGAGAGCATACCCAGCGGGAACACTGTCCAGTACAGGAGTGAGATGCACTTCACCACGAGGACCCTGAGCTCAGATTTACAGGGGGGAACAATGCCTTGCCCTGTTGCACTGAAACATTTTCCACCTTCATAGAAGTGTCGGAGTCTCTCCTCTTTCTCTTCCCAACGCTTCCGGCACCAAAGCTGCAGCTCCTCCTTAGAAGTGGGCACTGTCTCTATCGGATATCTCTGGACGTGGAAGTGAATCTCCTTTGGGAAGTTTCCGTTCAAAAGGTGCTTCTCTGTCTGAGGAATGTTTTGGGGGTATGCCACAGTTATGTCATGGATAGCATCGAGATTGTCACCTAGAAGAAAGGTTTGTGGGAAAAAAGATCAATACAGATCATGCAATGGTCAAAACACTAATTTGCTTCAAGGTGTGATTGAAAACTGTCCAAATTGTGGCAGAAATCCCAGAGATACATTAGCTATGCAGAGCATGTTCAACCTGCTAGAATCTCTAAAGGCTGAAAGGTCAAACTTTTCCCAACCATTATCTTTTCAGAAACTGAACAAAAACCTTCGTGAACAAGATTATACACAGTACAAACTAACGCAGAATAACAACAGTGAGTAAGGGATTAAAGTCAAATTTAAAGGAGAGGAGGTGCACATCTGGTCTTGGATAAAGAGCACAGTATGTGAGTCTAATGTTCAGTTATTCCTAGCTGTGCTGCATGCTGAAATTGCTTTTCACTAATGAAATACAACTTAGTCTATGTTCCTGTGAACACTGAAATAGATTCAGGTTGATCTGGAGCAAGCAGCATTCACAATCCTAGTTCAATGAAGACTGAGAAAACATAAGTGAAACATATACCAGCTAAATATCACGAACTCATTAAATCTAGGGTATCTCACAAAGGATTGAGGAGCAGCTTTGCAGCTCAGCCAGCTTTGCAGAGCACTCCAGTTAACACAATTTCTTTAGACCTGAGCAGCCAGTACTGTAAGGAGGTGAGCTGCTGTTCATTGCACTCCACATCTGGGAAAGACAAAGTGCAGCCTAAGTGGGGGTTGAAGCCCACCACTAAGTAAACCACATACAGTTAGCTATTTGAGTAAAGTGAGTGTAGTTAACCATTTAAAAGGCAATTGCAGATTAGAAATTCAGGGGAATATTGATGAAAAAAACCCTGCTCTTCATTAGCATGTCTGATTGAGCCAATGCTCTTGAAAGGATATCAGTATTGCCAAAGTGGGGCTTGCTAGTGTGTCTTTGTACTAAGTATTTTTATATTTTGCACTTCCTAAATACCTTCTTTATGCCCCGGCCCCTGACCAGACATTCTTTTTAGATTTCATAAAGTAAATTCTCCTAGTGTAAAACTGATCTAAAAATAGGCATGTGGTGCACTGGACGTTGCATAACTGTTAAGTTCTGCCAGCAGTGATTTATGTCGCTGTTTTTATTTGGCTGGCTGGCTGAGGGCAAAATAGAATTGGAGACTAAAAGCTGTCTCCAGTTGCAGCAGCTGAAGACTTTTGTTCTCACAGATGATGCCACTTCTTGCAAAGATGATCAAAACCTACTGTTTAGCCCCATTCTTCGTTTTTATTTGCTCCCCTTCCCCTGGCATTTTGGCTCTCTTTTAGAGCTCTAAAAATGACAGGGCAAGAATAGAAAGATACTTTAAAAGGCCATGTTCAAAATGATGTATCTAAAGTTCAATTCCAAATATCAAAAGAGGGGGAAAAGCCCTATTCAGCCTTTCAGAGTATTTTATAACTGTTCTGCCTTATAACGATCTCTCTTGGGCAGCAGCAGATTATTCGGGTTTTTAAAGAGCTATATATGGCTCCTAGGAGGTCTATCAGAGTGAAACTCAATATTCCATCTTTTCTCTAGCTATGGTATCACATCCTGTATAAGCAGAGAATCCCTGTATTCTGCACAGGTAAAACCTTTCAGATCTCCTACCAAGAGATGCCAAAATTGAACATGCCTTAGAAACCCAGCCTGCAAAGGGAAACGATGGCCAGCCTGCTGCACCTGATCACAAAACATTTTCATTTTGGGAACAGCTCGCATTTTCCCCCCACTATTCCAAATATTTCTGCCATCAGAAGGAATTACAGTCATCCTACAAGACAGATATCCCCCAGTTCCTGGCCCAGCCAGGGGAAGAGCTGTTACACATACCTCCAAGAGGTGTCCATCTCCTACAATCTTTCTTCCTCCTGATCCTCCATAGTTCACCAGGTCCTAGTGACACATAAAACCTACATACTCTACCCTAAGAGGCAGGCCAGAAAAGTTCAGCCTTCCTGAGATCCTTGCATGAAAAAGGCCTTTTATAAAAAAAGTTTTTGGCTAGATGAGTTTCTCACCCACCTTTTGGTCACTTGTGTCTTTGCAGCTAAACAGTCTGCCAATACATGCAAGTGGTCTTGAAAAATCAAGGCTTTACAGGACCACTGTCAATTACAGACTACAGGTAATAAATCATCAGATTTCTTGACTCTGTGCAAGTAGGACTGACAAGACTCTCTGCACTCTCACAGCTGGTCTGACCTCTCCAGCATGCAAGTAGATTTCTCCCCATGAATTCCTGATAAGAAATAGGGAAGCCTCTACTCCTTACCTATGGATCTGTGGCATCCCCAGACAAGAAAGCTTCCAGCAGGGCTTCCTACCAAACTGCAGAAGGTCTACACTACATTATGGTTGCAAAATTAGTTACCCAGAACCAAGCTCAAAGAGCTGTATACAGGAGGATGGACATTACTCTTTCAGCATTAAACATGAGGATGATTACCTGACCTGCTCTGCACGTCCGGCTGGAACCAGTATCTCCTAATTCCAGCTGCAAGGTTCACCTATTAAAGTGTATTTTACACAAGAAGAAATGAAACTTCAAGGGTTGATTTAGCATATTTGAAAGAACAGAAATATCAGAAAGAGAGAAAAACAGAATACCAGGTTTCATATGCAAAAGGATTAGAGCCTTTCTCAGCAGCCCCCTGGTTTGGGTCATACATATTTAAGAACTCCATGCAAATGGCAGCCTGGAGCTTTAATTCCCTGGCAAGGCAAGCATGTGGAAAGGACCAGCTCTAATCAGTTTTCTACAGCTGCTGAAAGAAGCATGCCCTGCTAGTGTGACATGCAGTAGAACTGCAGGTTCCACATTCCACACCTGAACAAAAAGCTTCTGCATCTTCTATGCTGATTTATCAATGGATATGGACAGTGTCACTGCATCACTACCAAACATGCTACTGGAGAATCTGCTAAAAAGAAGAAAAGTTACAGCAACAGATAAAGGTAGACCATTCATGAGCAGAGACAAAATCCCTTTAGGCTAGGTTTATTCAGGCAGTTCCAAACCTGCATTCTTGGCTGGAGCCATCTTTACTGTCTCCCTCTGAAGTTAAGCTCCTTGTCTCTGCGATCTGGAAACATCTAACAGCATGTGTTCCAAGGTGCCAGTCAACCAGAAAGTGATCCTAAGTGAAGATGCAGGGCAGTCACTGACTTTAAAGATCCTTTTTCCACCTGAATTTAAAGATTGGCTTCAAAAACCTGTTTCTGCACATCTGAAGAAGAAATTGCACTAAGGGAAACCACATCATTGTACTTCTCTAGTGGGTTAGCTCAGAGAAGCTGTTGGTGGACAAAACACTTCCTTAAATGCTTTTAGTATCCATGTCCCACTGGGGAAGGAATGAAGGACAGAGGAAATCAAATAATGTTCACAGATTTGCATCTGAAATCTAATTAAGCTAAGAAACTGCCATTAGGGCTAAAACATCAGGCAGGTAGCCCAGCTCTTCAGGACAAAGAGACACCAGTTTCAGTAGCTTTACAGTCTCAGGACTTTCTTCTCGCAGTAGTAGAACTATGTATCCTTCATAAAAATGAATAACGTTCTGTCCTATATATGCTTTATAAAAGCACCTCAGAAAAGGAAAGCTTACTGCAGTGGTCAGGAGTGAACATAAAGTTTATTTCTAATCATTATTAAGTGGCTCTAAACTGCATAACATGCAGACAATGATTAATCCGCGTGGTGGTCTTAATTTTGGGATGACAAAATGCCTCAAAAGGAGAATTCTTTTACTTACTAAATTTTCAGTGCTCCAATCAAAGTTACTTATATTTCAGGCTCCGTTGATACATGACATTACCTCAAGCTATTACATTGCACAGCTGGTTGCTTTGGGCACTGTACTCAGAGGTGGCACAGGGAGAACTTAACCAGGCTCATGACCAAAATATTAGCATCAGAGAAAGATACTGCCTTTTAAAAAACATTTCCCCTCACCCAGGGAAATAGAAATAAGGTTTATTGAGAAGCTGGGGCAGACTGGGCTGATGAGGCACAAGGCAAAGCCAGGCAGGTGTACTGACCAGCCCCATTTAAATGGGACCAGCCCCTTTTACCCCTTATTCCTCTATTTTCCAAAACTGGTTTCCTCCGAAGCACCTTGAAGCATCCCTTTCCTCACTTTTGGTTCCTCCCCTAAACATCCCATAATAACTCTTGTCCCCCCAAAAGCTCACTCTTTGGCATCCTGCAGCAACTCCCAGAGCCCTGACAGCAGTAACACCCCTCAGTCTGTAAGGTGATGGACAGGGTCCTCTCCCATGGACTCATGTGATGGGTGTCACTCCTGGCCCATGAGCCAATGGCTCCCCCATAACAACCCTCAGAGGAGCTGTGGTAGAGGCTTTGTTCCTCCATCTGGGTTTTGAGGCTTTGCCTGCCTGACCTTCTGCCCCTGTGCTCCTTTGCATGGGTGAAGACAAACCTTTTATCTCTTCCCTTATTATAAAACCTTGCAACCTGAACATTACTTTTAACTGTGTGTTCAATAATACCATGCCAGCACAGTATTTTAGTTCTAGGGGAAAAAAAACCAGCCTGAACACAAAAGGCAAGATTAAACTATTTTCAGCTTCTTTCAAACACATTCACAAAGAGAATATTGCGATGCAGATGCAATTGGAGACAACTGCCAGAAGTGATGCTCAGCCCCACATCACAGTACCACATAAGTGGGCTGGTTGGATGGACCCATCCCTTCTGCCATCACTTGGGAGATCAAGCACAGCCCATTCCTCAGTAATGATTCACACAAATGACAAGGACACTTCCTTGCTTGTACCTGGGACTGAGTAATGCTGAGCAAGCTCCCTGCGAGACAAAAGGATCTGTACAAACAGTGACTTCAGGGCCAACATGATGATTCAGAACAGGAGCTCTGAAAGCCAAAATGACCATCAGTGAGCCAAAAATGAGGATGGTCCCAGGCAAACCCACGCAATGAACTGCTCAGACTGTCTGCAGCCTAGAAGGTG